TATAATCCCCTAAAAATCTCCCTGACAGACCAGAAATATTGAAAAATACAATATTAATGCCAGCAGTGACTGTAGTGCAAGATGAATGCTTGAATAACCGTTGATAAAGAGGAAAGTGCTGAAGAAGGGGTTAACATCTATTGTATCCTTTTGGTCCCACCGCAGAACCTAGGGGGTGGGGTGAGACTGGATGGTCTCCCTTTCCATTGTTAGATTCTTGCCCACCCGAGGATACCTCAGCAGGTGAGAGCTAAATGAAATCTATGCAACAATAGAAGAGTTTAACTTTCAAACCATATCTATATGAATGGACTGCAGAATAAGAACTATAAGTATAATGTTATGATACGAATAGAAAAGTGTTAATATTTCTGTGGCAGCGGAAGGCAAAACCTAAAGATAATTTGTCGGTAAAATGATATTTTATCATGTTGTATAACGATTTTTAACTGGAATAAATTAATGTTAATTTTACCAAAGATTTAAGTCTGTAGCCTCTCAAAACCCCATAATATCTAGTATACTGTGAATGCCACTGAATCTTTATGCCTTAACCCCTCGGGACTCCTCTCCTTTTCCCTGTTTCCTTTTCTTGGTCCCCTTTCTTGTCTTTCCTTCTTTTCTATACTTTGCTTGGTTTCCGCCTTTTTTTTTTATTTACTGCCTCCTCCTTTATTTCCTTTGCTAAAAAAAAAACAGACCAAAGTATACATATGCCTTCTTTTGCCTCCTACTTGCATCCTGTTGCATTTGAACTGTTGTTATGTCTATTAATATACGGCTGGATCGCCAGGCAAGGATTGCTTTATTTGATGTTTCTTACTTTCTTACTCCCTGTTCTCGGTCAATACCAAATTTTAAATGTGTTCACTTACTGCCGCAATCTGTGTTGTATTATGTGTCTACTCACTCACTCAATAAACCTTTTGTGAAACAATATTTAGCTACAGTACAATAAGCAATACCAGGCTGTGATAATATGCCTATAAGAGACACATACTTCCTCAGAAACAGTTACATTTCCCATGTTTCCACTGTATTTGTATTACTCATTATATGGTGAGGATGTGTACTTACACACGGTACTATTTCATTTCCTGTATGCAGATAAAACCCTAAAATGGGAACCTTGACAAATAAAGTCATGTCAACAGGGAGTCCACCCTGTCTTTTACCCCTCTCACCCTGTCGAATGTACAGATCTCCTGTGGATTCCTCTCTTTCAGCAGAGATTGAACTCAGACCTCTTTCCTGTTTGGGTGCCTGGTGTCCTATATTTTGTAAGACAGTGCTGATATGTTCACATGTGTAAAATGAAATAAATGTGTATTTTGCTATGCTGGTTATTGTTTCTAAAAATATTTATAACATTTACATATGGGCAGTACATTGTACTACTTCTTTTGTTATACACAGAGGATATAACGTTATGATTTTGATATTTGCATGTAAATGTCTGTATGTTGTGTGTATTTTTCACGATCTGTTCTTATTCTGTGTGTATACTGGATACTGCAAAGTGTCACGTTTCTTGTCCTGTTTGCTGGGTGTAATTCTCAGTCTATGATGTCTGCATTCTCATTGCACAATACCACTGCTCCTGCATCCTGAAAGTAATTCTTGCCATCTGTCTTCATTTGCTAACTTCCTATGGGTTCTTTCTCATATGCGTTGAGAATTTAATGAAAGAGCAACGCTGATTAACGCGCCTATAGTGTTAACAAGGCATTAATGTGGCATAAAAAATGCTTGCAAAATGCCCTGCAAGTAGGGGAGTGTGTTAAAGGGTAAAGTAATGTAGTAAAGGGAAGTGACCAGTAGTGGCCACACTTCTATATTTTTGAAGGAGTTGCAGTAGTTGGGCAGACTTGGGTCATACAATTCTGGGTATTGCTCATCTGTTTGAATTAGCCGGGCAACATTTATTTCAGACGTTCTGGATGGTACTTGCAATGCCTGGCAATGGTATGGCTGGCACTGCTAAGCTGCCACTGGTGTGGCTGGCACTGCTTTGGATGACACTGATAACATCTGGCACTACATGGGGGCATAGGTCAGGCTGTCACAGGTTGCAAGTACCTGGCTAGAAGCTGTCCACTTGGTGGCAAAACACTGGCTGTGTGCAGACAGGAAGTGGCATCTGCACCTGCTCTGTCCACTTACTCTATGATTCCCCAGTGGTTTCTGGGATTGCAAAATTTCATATGCCTCTCCTAAAACACCTGTGCAATGCTTCTTAAATGCCCAAAATATGATATAGGAGCATTGACTGAGCATTTGAGTTGCTGTTTTACATACAGCAACACAACACAAGACTAATGCCCATGTGCGAACAGCAATGGGCGGTTGCTATTGCTTTATCCCACATGAGTGTTAATAGGCGGTAGAGAGGCATTAAAAACGCTTCACTAATGCCTGGTTTTAATACACATGTGAAAGGGGCCCATGTCTGCTCAACATATTTTTTACTGAGTGTATTGGTAAGTACCCTTAAATGATGACTTAGTCACACTAAGTCACACTAAGTTTTTGTCGCAGTGCGTGTGTCACTCCCTTATCAACCTATCAATTGTACTCCCAGGTTGATATCTCTGTAAATATGGGAGAGAAGTATCCTTGTCATGTAACATTTTTGGTTTTCAGTGCATCCTTGCTAATATTCATTATGTGATGCACTGACATCCTAAGATAACTGTATTAAGGGTAACATTTTCACCACTACAATAAAAGTATGCAATTTCAATAATGTCATAAATCTCTTGATAGCCTAATATATTCTGACTAAGAAATTAGCAAGTGGTTGGCCCATGTGTTAGAATATTGGGCTACTTGCTCCTTGTTGTAGTGATCTCATTCCATCAATACAGTGGTCCTAAAATGCAGAAATGAGATACCTTTTTACCTACATCTACCCCAGTTCCATCAGTCTACGATGGTGAATTTTCTTTTTTTATAATTTCCAATTCAAACAGCTTAACAGTTCATCATTTAAGGAATTTTGACAGCATAAAAGCAATGATCTACCATGTCAAATAGTCATGTTTATGGCAGTGGCAGCTGTCTAAGATGCCAGAAGGTAATTGGCTCATGCTTGCATGGCCAATTGCCAGATTATGTCTATAAGCACTCTTACTTTCTAATGGTCCTACCTTCCCCAGCGAGACAATTGCCAATCATCTGCCTATCCATTTATTGCATGTACAAAAACTTCCATAAATCAAAATTACTCTTAGTCTATCAACTAAGATACTAAGATATAGAATTCAATTATTTCCATAATTTCCATAAACATGTAGAAAGCAAAAACGAGGCTTGTCAAGGAAACAGCAACAACAGGAAAATCTTCCAAATTTCCTGCTGCTATCAGCTGCAGACTAAGACAGTTTGGTGGATCAATTAAAACATACTTAAAAAGCCATCAATCACAGCAGTATTTATAGAAAATAATACTGTATATCCTGTCTATTGTCTTCTGTGCAGTTATGCTGAATCAGGAAAGGAAGAGCTTACCATGTATAGTAAGCAGGAGAAAAAGAGAAACAAGGTTAATGCTATTAAGCTTTAAAGTGGGACTCCAGACATTTTTTTTTTGCCAACTTACAATAGTCCAGTGTGGGTGTAATGTAAGTAGCCATATCTGATATCCAGAGGGCCACTGGGGATACTGAAAATTACTGTAGTAGTCCATGCTACATACAATGATAGCCGTGATCTTCCTGATCACAGGGAGGCGCTCGCTTGGCCCCGCTGGTATTCAGAACGCCTTGTATTATTTTTATTTTCAATGAATACAGGGCATTTTCTGATTGGCTGAGGTAGAGATCATGATGCCATCTGCCCCTCCACCTCATCCAATAAGAGAACACCTTGTATTGCTTGTAAAAAATACAAGGCCTCTTTAAACAGCAGCAGTGCCGAGCGAGTGACTCCATGTGTTCATTGTGCAGAGGGGAAGCCGCTGGAGCAGGACTCGGAAGATCACAGCTATCATTGTATGTATCATGAACTACTAAAGTCATTTTCAGCATTAGTGCCTTTTTACCACTATTTATCTTTATACTAGCATGAGAAAAAGGTAATGCAATAAATTTATGGGAAACACATAGAGGAATTTATCAAAACTGCAGAAGACAGAATCTGGAGCAGTTGCCCAAGGCAACCAATCAGCTTCTCTCTTTAGTTTGTTCAGTTAAGATTTAAAAATGAAAAAGAGAAGCTGATTGGTTGCCATGCACAGCTGCTCCGGATTTTGTCTGCTCCAGTTTTGGTAATTTCCCCTCATAGAGCCTAATGCAACACAAACAACTTTAGAAGCTAAATGGAACATGTATTTATGCAGATCTCTACCTTGGACCTAAAAGAGGGCCACTTGTAAAGAAAAGAAGAGGAGGGTTATGGGGGTGTTTTTGTTCTAAAGTAGGTACAGGCCCTCAAATATAAGGCAGTTGGAAGCTATGCTGGTCTATCAAAATGGTTCCCTTGTCTTAAGCTGAAGAGTAGGAATGAGCTGGGTTTGGTCCAAACCTGAGCTCATCTGAACCTGGAAGTTAGGCATCAATGCACAGTGACCTTTATGTCACATGACCATACTTGGTTAATTATGTTGACTTAAAGTGACACTAAAAATAAATTTGTGTCCTAACAAAAATGTATCTTATTTGTGTTTCACTTAGCTGTAGTTCCTCAGATCATCTCTGAATTGGTGCTGATACTGCCCTTCCTTCTGGAGGGTGGCTATTTTTGTTCCCCATGTTCCTTGTGTGTGTTGTAAAGTAGCCACCACTCCAAGCTCACTCCTGTGATAGACTACAATCAAAATACAAATTTGTAAACTAAATGTGAGATTGTGGCATTAAGTTGGGGTGCGAGTGACCATTTATCGATTTTTTATTTTGACATGGGTCACACCAGGAATGCCCAGAATGTATCCACCATAGATCACATGCGATGTTATGGTGTCCAGAAAATACCGTACACAGTTGGCATCTTGCTTGTCTCACCTGTAGGGCTATTGACCAGCTGAAGGACAAGAGGTCTACGCGTAACAATACCAGATCCGCGAGGAAGAAAATCCCTGAAATTGGGGAAAAAAAATGGCCAGTGAGATTATATACCACAACATAAAAACAACGCAAACAGATGATTTATCAAAACTGGACAAATGATAAAATTAATGAATGAATGAAAATTGATTTCACGTGTTCCAGTTTTCATTTTAAAAAAAGCCTATGCGCATTCTTCATACATAGACATTGGGCATTGTCTGATGATGGTATTGTCTGAGGATGGCATTGTCTCAACCATTCACACCTAAGGATATAATCAAAAATGTCAAACTAATGTTACCTTGAGTAAAAAACACGTTAGTATTATAACAGAATATAACCAGAAATATAGGCAGCTTATGTTATATGCAAATGTGAACTTTTCCTGTAGAAGTTGATTTTGGCTCCACCCTTTCCTACCTCATGAGCTTCACTATTGGTCATTTAATGTGATGGGCAACCTCACTGGCAACAGGGAGGCTCAGAAGGTGCAAAGGGGTAGGGCCAAACTTGACTTTTACAAAAACAGGACTTTTAACCATGTGATAAATTCAGAATATACAGTATATTTAATCGACCTTAAGTATCTGAGTTACATCTATGTGTGTATCGCATGTTAAAACCCACTTTAACATGCAGCATTTGTGCGTTACATTCAGTCATTTATCCTAAAAGGCATCCCAATTAGGGCTGCAACAACTAATCGACATAATCGATTATTGAAAAAGTTGTCAACTTTTTCAATAATCGATTAATCGGCTTCCGATCAGTTGGCCTTGTTCACAGCTCCACACGCTGTGCGCCGTACCTCCTCCCCACCTCACGCTCGCTGCTGCCAGACCCGCCCGCATCCATGCTCCACACGCCGCACACTCACCGGCCACCCACATCCACGATCGGCACAGGGACGCGGGGAGATGTAGTAAGGAGGAGCAGGTGTGGGGTGATGACAGCCGCCGATAGACAGGCCCGATCTCAGAAGCAAGTTGCTGGAAGACTGCTCAGGTAAGCCTGCACTTTCCCACACATGGTACTCTATAATGTATTGCTGGGATTTGTATTACTCTATAGCTGATGGTACATTGTGCTGTATATTATACATAGGAATGCAAATCCCAGCAATACATTATACACTGTATGTATAATGTATTGATGGTATTTGTTGTACTCTTCTATAGCTGCTGATATTCTGCATTGCACAGTATAATGTACTATTGCTGGGATTTGTTGTACTCCTCTATAGCTGGTGATATTCTGCATTGGGCTGTATAGAGGACTACAAATCCCAGCAATAAAACATTGCTCTGCTGAATACCACCAGCTATAGAGGACTACAAAACCCAGCAATAGTAAATTATACAGTGCAATGCAGAATGCCTCCAGCTATTATGTACTATTGCTGGGTGTTTGTTGTATTCCTCTATAGCTGGTGGTATTCTGCATTCCTTGCTGTATAATTTTACACTTTCCATTTCACTATATTGCACACCACACTATCTTTCTTTTTTACTTCCACCGCTCCAAGCTTGCTCCTGTGATGGACTACAACCTCAATACAAAACTAGTAGTCCCATCACTGGAGCCTTTTTTTAAACTGTATTTTATTGTTTATCCGATTAACCAATTAATCGAACCTAATAATCGGCTAACTAATCGATTTTGAAAATAATCGTTAGCTGCAGCTCTAATCCCAATCTACATATACAACACACCTGTGCTACAAGACAATGCAATACACAAATGTGAATGTTCTGTCTGATGTATTGCATTATGTATTGTGTATGTTGAAGCTCATTAGGTGTTGCAGTGAATCGGCTGCCTTAACGCAATGCACATCGACGCATACTGCTTCATCCTGCTGTAAAGGCAGAAGTGTGACAGCGACTACTAGCTTTAAGCACTATGGAGTTTTATGGAGAACAACTCATTCAGAAAGTTTACAGCAGAAGCATTGAAGTCATTCATGACGGCTTTCCATTACATCAATTTCAGCAGAATAAGCAGAGTGAGTAAGATTTTTAAACAATTATGAGCACATAGTAGATAGAGAGAGAGAGCAAGGTTTCACACCCCAGTAAAATAGTTTGTACCCAAGATCATCTGATCAATAACCATTACCAGGTGTGCAAAGCCTGGGAAGGGGAGGCTTTTAAGAAAAAGGAAATTGCTCTCACAATGAACTTGTTATATAAAATAATTTATTACAATAGATTAAAAAAAGTATTGTTGTTTCAGACTTGATAACAAAATAGTGCGTGATACAATTGAGTTGATACAGATAGTTGCAGTCACCTAATTAATCATAAGAAAGATGAAACATGATAATATTCTTTCTTTGGATGCCTCAACATGTTTCGCTTAAATCAAGGTTTCCTCAGGAGGACGTTGATCCTCAAGAACTAATCAATATAGACCAAATCAGTAACTGTGTTGGCATGTATCTAAACATTCAAAATAAGATTTTTCTTGGAGGGAGTAGTCAAATTAAAACTTTTCACAGGGTGATCAGCCCTGATCGTATGTTACGCTGCACCATCAACATACACCTCCTGTATTAACTTGGTGGAGTCCTGTAATGTAACTTTAGATCTGGTATGTCCCTGTGCTGACCGTTACACAAGGAACTAGTGTCTGTATTGCAGGTACTAGTTACCCAAATTCTCTGAGGAAAACTTAAAGGGACGGTTTCCATTATCATACAAGTCACAGCCTGCTGGTGATTTGCCTACATTAAATTCACTGGCCTCAAATGGAACCGGTCTTCATAGCAATATGGGAGCACCAATTTCTTTTTGTAGAATATTTATTTATTATTTTTACAATGTATATACAATATAGACACACAAACATCATTATTAACAGACTTTCATAGGAAGAAAGCCAATCAATAATCAAAAATACCTACTCTTTTCTTTGCTTTTTAATGTCAACAGAAATTGTGGGTACCTATCCTGTGATCGCACAATTAACTCTTCTACCCTGCTTAGAAAGTTCATTTCTTTAATCCAATCTCTAATTTGCGGAGTATCTTGGAACCTCCAGTATCTAGCTTTTACCGTTCTTGCATCAAATAAGAAAAAATTAAATAAGCCTTTCTTGACTTCTTTATTTGGATCTGGCATAATATTCAATAGCGCAATCTCAGGCATACAAAATCCATGGACCTTGATAAGATGTACTTCTATCTTATAAACCGGTTCCCAGAAAGGTTGAATCTCTACATGTAGCATTGTAATAGGGCTGCAACAACGAATCGACTAAGTAGATTACAATCGATGATGGAAAACGTTGTCTACGTTCCTCTATAGCTGCTGGTATTCTGCATTACACTGCATAATGTACTATTGCTGGGATCTCTTGTATTGCTCTATACAGTGCAATGCAGAATACCACCAGCAATAGAGAACTACAAATCCCAGCAACAGTACATTATACAGCGCAATGCAGAAGACCACCAGCTATAGGGGAATACTACAAATCCCAGAAGAGTACATTGTACAGTGCAATGTAGAATACCACCAGCTATAATGTACTATTGCTGGGATTTGTTGTATTCCTCTATAGCTGGTGGTATTCTGCATTGTGCTGCATAATGTATTATTGCTGGGATTTGTAGTCCTCTATAGCCGTTGCCATTTTGCATTGATTGCTCTATAATATTACACTTTACATTTCACTATATTGCGCACCACACTTTTTTATTAGCTAGCCGATTATTTGAACTTAATAATCGGCTAACTAATCGGTTAGCTGCAGCCCTACATAGTACCTTTTTCTATTCCACATCTCCAACATCGATCAGATATGTTTGGGAAGATCTTATGTATTAAGGTGGGATAGCTATACGATCTTGTCAATATCTTAAAATTCCGTTCCTGAATGTAACTTGATATACTTGATTTAAACGTTAACACAAAAGAGTGTTTCCAATCATTTTGAGATACAGCCCAATTCTGTTTCCCATCCTCTCACATAGAACGGTCTATCAGAGTAAGCTTGGGTCAAGAGGATATGATATATCTTTGATAATTTATGTTTACTTTCCTTTTGGTTCATAGGGCGGGTCAAGTCTCGCCTAAGAGGTTTAGATCTCGAGAGGGAAGTAATATAATGTTTTAACTGGAGGTATGCGAACCACTGTCCCCGTGAGGAACCGCTTTCTGGAATCAGTAGAGATAAAGGATACATACCATGGCCTGAAATTGCTTGAATAATAGGCACTGGTTCTATAGCAGTTCATTTTAGAAATTGGTGGCTAGCAAACCCTGCCAGGAAATCTGGATTGATTAGTATATGTCCTATTCTATCCCAGATCTTCGTGTTCTAACTAATGGAGGTAAAGGCCCCTGTATCAACCTTTTCTGGGGACGGATCAATGGAACCAAAGTCAATTCTAATGGAGTAGCTGCTTGTTCAACAGAAAACCACAATTTATTTCTGGTAGAAGAGAACCAGTGTATGATACAGGTTAACACTGCTATCCAGTAATACAGCTCCATGTGTGGAAGAACTGCCCCGCCATCCTGTCTATGCATTACTAATATATTGTGTCTTAATCGTTACTGAGTACGTCCCCACACATATTTGATCATTGCTCACCTCAGGGTCCTAAAATAGAATCTTGGGATTCTAATCGGCATAGTTTAGAATAGATGAAAACATCGTGGCAGGATATCCATTTTAATCAACTCCATCCTTTCTATCCACAAATGCATTTTCTGACCTCAGCTATTCAATCTGTGCTGTGTCTCTACCAATAAATGCATATAGTTTAGTTCAAAAACATCCGATTCCGTACTGCCACATGTACCCCAAGGTATTTAATACTTTGCTCGCAACACCTAAAAAGGAAGCCAGCCTGGTTAGCCTCCCGTTCATATGTAGGGAGCGAAACATCCAAACATTCAGACTTTGATGCAATTATACCATAGTTACTTGATCGTCCAAATAACTCTATTTCTTTTAAAAGTGATGGAAAGCCAATAAGGGGATTGGAGATATAGAGGAGCAGGTCATCAGCAAACAACCT